AGAGAGCAATATCTTTATTATTACAGCTTAATGGTATAAATGTCAGTTTAGGTAGGGTTTTAGCTCTGACGCGTGATAGCTTTACATATTAAAAGAGATTAACTTGAAAATGGCTACTTTTCCTTACTAGCAATTCTAACACTATAGTATAAAACATGACTTAGAATCTAAATAATTACTTCACAGACAATAGAATTTATTGTTTTACACAAATCTGCAAATAGTGCCACACAGCCTTTACTATTATTATTTTTTTAAAGACTTTTTAAAGAGAAGGCATGACTTTTTTGTATAACTGGATTGGTGGGAAACTGACATGGGCTGCTTTGCTGCACTCAGTGATTTAGAAAAGGCTCTTGAACTGTAAACACCAGCAGTTTTAAGGTTCCTTTTTTGAAACACCCTTTCTATCCTGATTACCGATACATATAAAAACTCTTTCAGACAGCTTTAAAAGTCACCAACGATAAGTAGCCATAAAAGTATAGCTTTTTGCTATGGCATTTAGCACCCAGAGCACTTAAACCTGTTACAGGGCTACCGTTAGAAACTTGATATTTGACTCAGGAATGTATGTCATTGTTTCACCATTCATTTGAGTTCAAAGGCCAAGTGTGGAGTTTCTTCAGATCCTGCTGGTTCAACCAGTCTATTTTTTAATTTCCTGAATGAGTTACTTCCTTTGTTGATTTTGTGCACATGTATCTGGCTACAGTATGATACAGCTTCTCTTAAAGGGCCCACGTCATGAAAAACTGAAATTTCTTTGCTTTTGCTCTTTTGGAATATGTAATGTGTATGATCCATTCATTAAAATGTACTGTTCACTCCTCAATCCATACAGTGCATATATGGAAACTAATGCTATGAATGTGTCACAACTAGGAACACATTTACATATGTCCATTCACGCTGCAGTGATAAGGAGTGTTGTTACAGCGGACAGTCTGTAGCAGAGTTGTTAGAGCAGATAATGTGGGGTAAATGAATAAACCTGGCTGTCAGGCAGCTAATGTATCACTTCAACCACTTGCTAATGTCTCTCCAGTGTGCCTGAAGATTTCTTTTGGAATTTTAAAAGTTTGGTTTGTACATTTTAGTCTGAGCTGCTTTTTGAATGTGGTGTACCTCAATTCACTTGACTTGTGAAGGGGTCAGCTAATCAGAGCTCGTTTACATAAAGCACAGAAATGAGGATAAAACCATGCAAATGTTATATGTATAGATGATTCCACAATTGGGGTGTCATTTATCACTTAAAATGAACCCTTATGTTCTTTTTTGGGGTCCCCGAGACCCCAGAACCTCATCACCTCACAAAATATAATTAGCATTTTTAATCAGGTTGATACTTAATGACCTTTTCCTACTTTTATGGAAGCTGTAAATGAATCAGATTTTTAGACTGATATTGTGTTCTGAACTCCCCGTAGAGAAATGTATATACAACTTCTGATTAAAAGCAGTAGATTTCCATGTACAGTTAGATGCTGTCTGGTGTTGAGGTTACAGTTGACACACACACACACACACAAACACACAAACACACACTTTTACAAAATCTTCCACCTCTCTTCCTTGTTCTCTCTCTCTCTCTCTCTCTCTCTCTGCCTCTCTGCCTCTCTCTCTGTTTCTCACAGACACACACACTTCAAAGACAAATTTATAAAGGAAAAACTTAGGTAGTGCTCTATAGTAGAGCCAGGGCGTGAGGGTCATCCTGGATTTGACAGATGGACTATGTGGTATTTCTCAGAATAATATAAATGTCCTAATCTAGTGAGTTTTATAATGAAAAGAAATCTAAATATATTTTCAAAGGGAACATATATTTAGATTGAAAGATTGAAATAGCATTCTTTAGAAAAGGGAAACTAAAGATTTAAAAGAAGAAGTCAAGTCAAGCTCTAATCATATTCATCGAGAACTGTTCTTTCTTGGGGTGCAGTGCAATATGCTATTCTTTGAAGGCTGAAAATAGACTCAAACGCTTTAAAGAGACAATTTATGAGCAAGGAGATAAGTCTATATTCAAGCAGATTCTGGGAAAATATCCACAGCTTTTATTGCATTTTTTTATATTTTTCTTTATAAAAATTCTTGGAGAAGCAAGGCAAATTTTAGGTAGTCTCAACATTCCTTGTCCCCAAGATGAAGCCAAAAATTTGATAAACTCATCTTTAGATAAAAAGGAGGGTTTAGAAGTCATTAATAAAATGAAAAATGTCTGGACTGTGTGTGTGTGTGTGTGTGTGCGTATATATATATATATACAGATATAGATATAGATATGGATATAGCTTTCAAAGTTAAAGTAGCTGGTCCCGTAATATAAATGTACACAGAATCACTTCCTCCCTCTCTGAAAAGTGCACTGATCAGCCTTATTCCAAAACCAGATAAACCTCCTAACAAATCAAACTTCTGTACTATGAACCAAAAGGCTGAGGTTGTCACAAATAACTTGATCTCTAAGCCTTTAAATATTTTTCGAGGAATGCGCCGAGGCTGGAAAGTTCTGTACCTGCTCTCAATAATTTGATAGAATTATTATGAAAATTTCAGGATTTCAAGTAAATGAGTCCAAATCTTCAATGAGATGAACAAGAGACACTACACTCACCATTAACACTCCCATACACTAACTCTGAAAAAGGATTTAGATATCTTAGAATCATTATTACACCAAAATAATTCCTATTAACTACAAACCAGTAATTTCTCAGATACAGGACATCCTATCTAGATGTATGTCCCTCCCTTATTCTTTGGTTGGAAGAGTAAATATAATCAAGATGAACACAATCAACAGCCAAGGCTTTGTTTGTCATTGCCTTATCTTCCATATGATTTAGGTGGTCTGCAAATTCCCAAATTGTTATGGTGTTTCTTGCCAGCCCAACTGAGATCAGCTTTCTTTTGGTTCTTAGCTTCACCGTATTCATAACTGGTTCAGATGGAGATGAGTGCTGGTGGAGAACTGGACTTCAGCACTTATATGTACTCTGATTCCTTAAAGGCACTGAAGCAGACCCAAGCCATTTATTATAAACGTTGTTTCGGTCTGGCATGAAGTGCATACTGTGCTTGGGACAGATGCCTGTATCATCCTAGTTTCCTCTATTAGGGCAATGCAATGTTTACTTCTGGTATATCTGATTCTGGATTCAAAACTCTATGTTGATGGGACTCTGATATCTTTTGAAGATCTTAAAGAAAAATTTGGGAATTTGAAAACTTTTTTCAAAAAAAGTTGCAGACTAACTCAGTATATATGGTTAATTAGAACTTACTTAACACGTGTAAAACTGAAAAAAGTTAATCCTAATGTTCCAGGCATCTCTATAAACTGTAATACACATAAGGGAACCCTATTGCATTGTATCTAGGAGTGTGAATTTGTGCAAAGATTTTTAAGTGAAGTAATTAGTACAGTTTCCTAAATCATTGGTAAGATAGTTCCAGTATTCTCTAAACTTTGTATTTTGGGTCTTATCCCAGAAACATTGTCATTAAAAACCACAAATCCAAACTTGTAAATCTCTGCATACTACATACAAAGCATTTGATTGCCAGGCTTACGTACACACTGGGGATGGTTTATAAGCTTCCTTAAGGAAGTAGATTTAGTATTCGAGGTACTTTCTCTCGACTTTGCATTCATCTGTATCTTATGTGAAAATTTTTGACACACTAAGTAAAGTTCAAAATAACTGTGTATGTGTATAAATGTGTATATAAAAACATAAGAAAAGAGAAACAAATACACACACACACACACACACACACACACACACACACACAAACACACACACACACACACACACACACATATATATATGTGTGTGTGTGTGTGTGTGTGTGTATTTGTTTCTCTTATGTGTTTTTTTTTACATGAATATAGAGATGGCTACAAACTTAGGAATGGTTGTGTATTGAGAGTTTATGTATTCTTTTGTATTCCTTGCTTTGGAATGCATATTTATTCATTCCTGAAATTTGAAAGCCCAGTTTATTGTAACTCAGTATACTGAGTTAAAATATCTTTGTTATATAATCTTTGTATAGGATGATATAACAGTATTTGGACAAAAAAGGTCTCTGGGACCCCAAAGAACAAGGTAGTAAAGTCAATGTCAACAGAGCACAAGTGTTATTATTTTAAAATCTTATTTTAAAATCTTTTTCAGCATAAAATCTAAGAAAATAGCGTTCAGCCTTTCAAGAAATGTCAACCCATGTCAAGAAACTTATATATAATTTTTTTTTACATTTTTTCGTCACAGAAAGTTATTACATGAAATAGCGTCTAATACACTGCCTGATGCCTAAAACAGTATTTTTGATACTTTTTTACTTTTTGTTTTAAATATCTTCATGGTAGAGGAGTACATACATGCTGGAAATTACAAGGCCATAAATTTTTCCAAGACTTACAATATCTTATCATTATTTTACATATAAAAGTAGTAGTCTGTAGGTTCATTGGTGGTATTGGACAGTAGATAAATTGGTTACATTTCTGGTGTAGATGTCATGATTTCTGGTTCCTATCACCACCACTGTGAAGAAATCTGAGTTGGTAAGTTTCTCTGCCATGAACAATTTCACCCCTAAATGACTTTGTTTACTGCTTAACCCCTGAATTATTCTGACCTTTTCAGAAATCAGTGAAATTCTTGATTAATAAAAAAATAATTATATTTAATATTTTATATAAAATATAGGCCTATTGGACATGCTACATGGCCCCTAGGTGTGAGTGTGTGTGTGTGGATGTGTATGTCTATCTGTCAGCCCTGCAATGGACTGGTGACCTGTCCAGGGTGTATCCTGCCTTCTGACCAATGACCACTGGGATGGGCTCCAGCACCCCACCGCGACCCAGAGAGATAAGTTTAAAATGTGTGTGTGTGTGTGTGTGTAACATTTAATGATTACATTTCAAGGTAGGGTGTAGTTATAGTGGGCTGGAACAGCCAAAAAATACAGTCCTCTAAGCTTTTTAAATAGGTTTTATTATTTTTTGAAGTCATTTATCTGAAATATACACATCAATGTTAAAATGTCTTTTAACTTCCCTTTTCACGTACATTTGTAAAGGTAATACCAGTGACACACAAATGGCCGCCAAGTCATGGAATAAGTGAAAGGGGAAAAATACAGTACAAGAAAAATGTAGAATATTGGCCCTCTCAACTTCTGTCTCTCATATGGAGAAGGAGTGTATCTCCTGGGAGTTTGAGTTTGTGTTGAAGGCGATCTCCGTTCCTTGATACTCTCTCCGCTGTCCCGACCTCCTCTTCTGACCATAGCTCTTGGCAAACTTCATTATGTGCTGTCTGAAGGATGAGCCAATGAAGGCATACAGCACTGGGTTCAGGCAGCAGTGGGTCAGGGCCAGGCTCTCTGTGACCTGCGCGGCCCGGTCCAGTGCTTTACTGACCCCACAGTGGGTTACCAGCACATGCGTCACGTCCAGCACCCGATAGAACTTCACGGCGTTGTAGGGCAGCTGCGTAAGAACGAAGGACAGGACCACGGCCAGTAAGACTCGGATGGGTCTCCACCTCTTCTCCCTGTTCTCTGGAGGCAGCTTCAGCAAAGTCCGAGCCACATGGGCATAACAATACAACATGACGATCAATGGCACCAAAAAGCCAAGCAGTATCTCTAGTACTTCCATACTGACTTTAGCTTGGAAGGCCATGTCTGATGTATAAACAGGAATGCACATCTTCCTATCAGAGAATTCCTTGACCGTGGAAAGCACCAAGTCTGGAATTCCTAAAAGCAAAGCAATTGTCCATACAACTATGCAAAGCTTTGCTGAGTGGTTCTTCCTAAAAGCCTTCCCCAGGCCCCCTTCCCTCAGGCCTGGTGTTAGAGCCAAATATCGGTCCAGGCTAATGCACGCTAGCAACAGCATGCCACAGGTGAAATTGATAGTATATGAGGCAGTGACCAGCTTGCAGAGAACATTCCCAAGCTCCCAGCCTTGCACAGCAGCCGACGCCCAGAAGGGCAGAGTCAGGAGCAACAGTATATCAGCCACAGCCAAGTGAACCAGAAATGTGTCTGTCAGTGTCTTCAGACGCTTGCTGCAAGTATACACAGCCACTACCAGGACATTCCCAGCTATACCCACCACTAGACACAACCCGTACATGACTGGTACGAAGATCTTTGCAAATGAGCGGACATCGTGCTTCTCACAGATGGTTTGGTAGTCATCATAGCTGAAGCTGTAGCTGACGTTTTCATAATCATAGTATTCTTCATCCACGTGGGCCATTTTCCTTCCAATATAAAAATTTCTGAAGAAAAATAACAATTATTAGTCTTTGTGTTAAGTGATGGAACGATTGTTAAAGGACTCATATCAAAAACAAAATCCTTGCTTTTTGAAACGGAGGGATCCATATATGGAAGCTTTGCTGCACAGCCCCATTGAATTTTGCTGTAGACTCCGCTATAGACTATAGACTTCTTTTGCAGTAACAACACTCCCTATAACTTCAATGTGAATGGGTGGCTGTAGGATTAATAAGTGCTCATGTATAAATATGTTCAGTGGTTGTGATGTCACTGCTAACAGTCTAGCAATATTCAAAGGGGCTATATAGCAGCATCGCTTTATAAATGGATCCCTGTTTCAAAAAGCAAGGATTTTGAATTACTTAACCATGAAGCACCAGTCAGGAATTCCAAGAACCAAAGCAAGAGGAAAGGAAAAATCCAAAGGAAAAATACAGATATCTAGAAGTAGTGACCAAATTTTATTTTTTCTGATGCCCTTGAGGATATCACTCGGGGTGTTTTGTACTTTTCAGCCCGGACTGGACTGGACCTTTGAAATGTGGTGCTGATTACACTTTTGAATAAATTGGTACATAAAAGCATAGAAACATATGTATAAGTGACATCAGTAAAAGACAAAGATGATAAACATAGAAGTTTTAAAACAAGTTGCTTGAAACCAGAAGGTGAAAGATCTTTGTACAGAGGAGATCTGCTGCCATGATAACATTTGTTCCCTTTCTCTTCATTGTAATTCTCCTCTGTCAATAATATTTCTTTTTTTCCTACAATTTACAGTATGTTCTGTTTTTGAGATAATATATCATACATTAAAGTTGATTCCTAGAATGCAGTCAGTATTTACAACTAGTTCCTATCCTCCTTTGGATATGAATAATTGGATCATCAGCATACTTTTTTCTCTCTTAACATCAGAAAACATGCATGTGGCTACCAGACATTTTAATGCCTTGCCTTAAGCATGGAAATACACCATTCCTGACATTACCTCTGTCTATCCTTTCATCAGATGTTATGGGAAGATGCTTTCCTAAAGTTCTGGAAGCGAGTTCACGTCTGTTTCCTCCTAGATTTGCTGTGAAATGGAGAATGTAAACAGCATGCCTAAGTGTGGAACGTTCTTTTGAAAGCCTGTGTGAAGAAATCTGGTCTCGAATACCTAAACAGTGCATATCCGAATGCCATAGGCAGGATGCTTGTATATAAATGCTGAATAACTAGGTGTGGTTACTGGAAAATGAGAAGCTTAGTGCGTAGTGTGAGCTGAATGCATTTTTATATGTGAATGTGAGCTTAAAGGAATGGTCTAACATTTAAATCTAGTCTCTATCAACTCCATCTCTACACTGTTAGAAAAAAAGGTTCTGTGCAGGTACATTTTTCGTTCATCAAGGTACAAACAATGTAACCGTACTCTTAAAGATACAACAGTGGTTTTTAGGTCCAATTGTGTATCTTAAATGGGTTTTTCCCAATGGAAAATACATATTTGTACCTTTTCATAACCTAATGTTTTAAAGCAGAACAATAAAATAAAAAGCCTAGAGACGAGATGGGGTGTGTGGAGTCAGCACAACTTAGAAAATATAATTTCAATGTATTATGGTACAAATATGTTCCCTGACTAAAGGTGCTGAGATGCACCCTTGAGGGTACCACCCCAATGACAAGAGGGGTACTGCCTCAGTGACAGTTTAGTACCTTTTTTCTGAGCGTGTATGTATATGTACTTATAATTTTCATCGATTTCCCATTAGATTTGATAAAAAAAACAGAATCTGTTGATTCAACGCAGACTTATAATAGAAGCCAGAGGGCAAATGTTGAAATAGAAACGCTGGAGAGTCTTAACAAATGCCACTCCCACTGCACTGTTTACTCTCATGCACAAACTTTGACTTGACAGTAAAAGCCCAAAACCTTTGGAACAGCAGCAGAAAACTGAGCTTCACTCAAATTCACTTAAACGTACAGTAAACTATTTCTACAGCAGTCACATTTAACCTTGTAATCTATTCCAAAGCCTTGTGCCAAATGGTTAAGAGCATGTCTCTTACCTTATCCCTTAGCTGTATGAGGAGGCAGAGAGGATTCGCTCGTCCTTTTGAACAGCCTGCAGAGAGTGAACACCTCAGTGTTTAGGAGAGAGAGAAAAAGAAAGAGAAAAGGAAGGGAGGGAGGGGGGAAGGGAGGGCAACCACCTTCAAAATGTCAAGTGCTATAAAAGCATTGCAAAGAGGCCCGGCCTTGTCTGCTGTATGCACGGTGTTCAATGTGCGTATGTTTTATATGTGTGAAACGTGCACTGAGTGTTGGTGGTCATTTTGAAGTTGCTGTGGAGCTTCACAAGCGCGCCTTCTGCCTTCTGTGGGTGACAACGCGCTTGTTTACCCGACAGTGATTACAGCACTGTTTAGTTTTTACTGCTGCGATTGTATGTGCCAGGTCCCCTTAGATGATGTTCTGCCAAGAAGAAAAACAAACTTCATCTGATAAAAGTTGAAAGTACAACACTGTCGGGTTCATTGCCAAGAGAGCACAGGCAGCAACGGCTGCACAGCTCTGCGCAAACTGCTGTCAGTTACAGCTTATGACACTCGTCTTTTCTGTCAGCACTTTTATTTTGAGAGTTTCGCCCTCAGTCGTTTGTCTTTTTCTGCCACGAGTTCATTACACACTTGTGAGTGTTGAATGAATGTCGCAAACGTTCGGTAAAATACGGGAAAATACAACTTCTCCATATAATGCATTGCATTCATTTCCACAAAAGTTTAAGCATGGGTGCGGAAGCCTGATTTCTTGCTGCACTCCAGCCAAGGTATGGAGTTGTTAAACACCCCCAGCAGCACACTTGATATAATTATAATTTAAAGGGATATTTAAAGTAAACACAGAAGGTTAATGATTGGAAACTAGAACACGTATTTCAAACGGCCCAACTCCAAAAATCTACCCCAAAGCATTTTTAGTTTCTCAAAGCTCCTCCCACCTTCACAATATTTCATCAGAAGTGTCCCTTTATTGAAGAATAACTTCATGAAGGATTGATTAGCTCAAGCAGGTTTTGTTTGGTAACTGTAAATTCTGGGCTTCCTCAAATATTGCTTTGGAAAGGGTTAAGCCAACACAATCGCACATAAAAGGTCACAAAGTGTTGTTTATGTTTTATTTGTATCTGTTCTAATGTTGATGATGTTTACTCAGTTTCCCCCACAGTTTAGTCATGGTCAATTCCCATCTGCTAGCTAGCTAGGTCTTGAGGTGAAGCAGGCATCTCCAAGACATGTGAAGCCACCAAATGCATTTATTGGCACTAATGCAACATCATTGAACAACTCGACATGCTTGGAGGAACACGCTGACAGCTTTTTCCGTAATGTCAGCTAACAGATGCTGTTTTGGTCAGCCTTGTGCAGGACAAGTGTCTTTCTTATTTACCAGGAAGAGTGTAACGTTTTTAGTACAGAACTGAAAAACTGAGGAATAAGAATACCTTTGTTCATAGGCTTTTCATTTACCATCTTTCATGGAAACTACATGCAGTGATTAAACTAGGCACCTGAACACTATCAAAGTAAAGGGAGAGGGAGTGGGTGGGGCTTTTGTCGTGCATGTATGTACGCTCAAGTGACTGGGCTGTTTTTCTAAAGTTGCTTAGAAGTTTTAAGGTTTGTGGTTTTCTAAGTTTGTTTTGGCTGCATCTTAAACCTCATGTTACTACACTATACATATATATTAATGAATGTACAGCTAATAGAGGTGTACTTATTTGGACGTAGTATTTAGTATAATAGTATGAGATCTGAGCTGCAGCTCTTGTTACAGGGCCAGTGTGGCCTTGAAAAAGTTGAGAATTCATATACGAGCCTCAAATAAAATCCTAAAGTTTAGAATGTGCTCAAGTAAATTAGCTTTCATTGTGTTTCAAGACATTTTTACTTTGATAGCATCGAAAATGAAATGGGCATTGTTAATCCTCTTTTTATCAGGCCAGCCTTTCACTGAGGTACAACTATGCATAGAAAACACAGTAACCGTAACTGACATGCTTGATTTTTGTGCTTTCTGTTTCTATTTGGTGGTAAGTGTTTTTATCATGAGGGAAGTGAGTAAAATTCCGTCTGCTGGCGTGGTGATTTATTTCTTGGCTGCGGCGCACTGTTGTGTAAATGTTTTTAGGCTGAGCTCTGCTTTTCCGTCTGCACCACCCAGACACCAGGGTGATGACAGTTTTTCTCACAAAAAACACAGCTCATCACCAACACATTAAAAGGAGGCCAGCAAACAACTATTAGCACTGTAAACTGCAGCATCACAAGCATAGAGTAGTCCAGCTTTTAATTCTGTCAGATTCATGAAAGTAACACGTCACAATTATTTGAGACAGCAGATTTCAGCTGATGTTAGATTTTATTGTATTATAGTTCTGAGGAGGACTATAACAAAGGCACGTGGCTTACATTTAAGACTGCATGGATAAGTGCTGCCGCCTGGGGGCCTCTGTTGGTAATGCACCAAATTTTATAACAACTAAAATATACAGAAAGAGTACAGTGGTGGTTTATTAAAGGAAATGATTAACAAAAGAAAAGATATTATTAACGTATACATTTCCTGTATGTTCAACTCTTTCATGTCAAAATAGCCTTCTTACTCTCTGCTATGCATATTGTGAAGCTACATGTAAATCATGTTTAGATAAAATCATTTCATGATAATGAAATCAGACGGTATTCATCGTGACAGACTGTTCACTTTGTCCTTCGTTCATCAGTACACATCATCTAAAAAAGAGAGAAAGAAAGCAATAGTTTTCACTTCAGTGTTACTTAAAGGCTGCAGTTTTGATGTAATGAAATGGTAAAGATGTAAACAAAGTCATTCAGAGTGGATTGATGTGAAATGCTTCTCTCATTCTAGAGAAACGAGTCAATATTGTTCACGGTGGTGATAGGAACCAGATGTCTGAAGAGTTTAATGCCTCTAAAAGCTCCTTCACTGATATCTGCTGTCTGATGTCGGACCTAACCTTACCCAAAACCTAATCCTAACCCTGGCCCTAATCCTAATCCTAACCTTAACCTCAACCTCAACCCAAAACTTAACCCTAACCCTGGCTCTAATCCTAACCCTAACCTCAACCTCAACCCAAAACCTAACACTAACCCTGGCTCTAATCCTAACCCTAACCTTTACTTCAACCCAAAACCTAATCCTAACCTTAACCTCAACCCAAAACCTAACACTGGCCCTAATCCTAACCCTAACCTCAACCTCAACCCAAAACCTAATCCTAACCCTGGCCCTAATCCTAACCCTAACCTCAACCTCAACCCAAAACCTAATCCTAACCCTGGCCCTAATCCTAACCCTAACCTCAACCTAAAACCAAAACCTATTCCTAAACCTGGCCTTAATCCTAACCCTAACCTCAACCTCAACCCAAAACCTATTCCTAAACCTGGCCTTAATCCTAACCCTAACCTCAACCTCAACCCAAAACCTAATCCTTACCCTCATATGTTTTTGTCATGTTACTGAGAGTCTGTTGAGTGTTTTATCTAAAAAGGACCACTCAAGCTTGTCACCAAAATCTGTTTGGATCTGTTCATGTCTGAGGGGCACACGCAATGTGTTGTAAAGCAAACAGTCCCCCACTCAGAAGGCATGTATAGGTTCACTGGTCTTTTTGGATAGGAAATAAAATGGCTACATTTGTGTTGTAAACATGGCGACCCCTGGTTCCTATCACTGATAAGAAATCCAAGTTAGGAAGTTTCTCTACAATTAACCGTTTCACACCAAACCACTCTTAATGAGATTGTTTATTTCTCCATGACAGAATTATGTAGAAAAAAGGTGAAATTCCCATTTAAAGGGTGATGGCATCTAAATAAGCTTATTAGTCGTGATTGTTACGCTAATGGAAAAGTCTTCTAAACAGCTATACAAAGTTGAAAATGTTCATTTTTGCCTTCTGAGTAATTAAAGATGTGCTGATGGTTGCAACAAACATAAACATATCAGTGACACAATCAGAGTTATACAGTTTTTTGTTATCAAAATGTTCATATATTATAAGCTATGTTACCGTTTGCTGTGTCTCTTCGCTCCTGAATGATGCTCGCTGTGGGACCCTGTATGAAAGAATTCACAGATGATTCAAAGTGACTGGAACAAACCTTTATCCTTCTCCATGCAGCTGTAAAGTGTATTCTTACCATTGAGCCAACTAAACTGTTTCGTCCTGGTCTGGATGGTTGTTTGGACAGCTTTTTTTTTGTAGCTGTCTTTTAGCCCGAACCACCTTGAAGAGAGAAAGAGAGGATCTGCAGTCGTGTGCAAAAGTAAAATTACATTTTGTTGTTTTTCTAAGTGAAAAGAAGTTAACACATACTCTACAGAGGAAGAAACAGAGACACTTTCTGGACATATTAATGCACAATTACTGTTTATTTGCTGAGTTTAACATATTGGAAAAAAGTAAACCAGAAAATATAAAACGTGCCAGAACTTTTGCACAGGCCATATATTATGTTTTTGTGATGGATTCCACAAATAAACAGCAAATATGCATTAAAATGTGTAAAAAAGATGTGTAAGTAATTTTCACTTACAAAAGCAACAAAACATGTCATTTGACTGGGGGTGCACAAACTTTTGCGCACAACTGTATATTCTACATTTCTTGCATTTTATTTTTTTCCCCACTTGTGTAGTTTTTGTTCTAAAAACAGTTGTAATTTGTTTACATGGCCATGTTCAATTTATTTTCATGACCATTTTCCAACCTGTCTTTATTCCTTACAATTAAACAAGCCATTTTTGTTCTGTGCCTTTAAGACTGATGTAATATAAATTTTCTGTTTGGAAACGTCAACAATGTTTCCATGGTACATCATCCTTTTTTCCTTCAGAAAAGCAAAGGATATTTAGTGTTTTTAGAATAAGAGGTTCATTAAAGCCCTCTGTCATCTGCCTCTCTTTCAGCAGTGATAATTCAGGCTACATCTGCAGTCTGTGCTGCGCTGAATAGAGAGGACAGTGAGTACCTCAGGTTCTCCAGTGTTCCCTATAGGAGACATCTTTCCCTGGTGTGGCTTTGGGCGGGGGTGGAGTAATTTCCCAGCTGCTGCCTCTGCTTCCCTCTTGGTGCGAGAGCTCTGAGAGTAACCGTGTGGAATAGATGGACAGAAGCACATTAAAGAGGAATCATACAATTTTTTTAAACTGTTCAATTGATGAGATGTAAACAAAGTCATTCAGGGTGGCTTGATGTGAAAAGCTCTGTTCTAGATAAACTGACAGAGTCGGAATTCACAGTTCACAGTGATGGTGATATAAACCAGATATCAGAAGAGTTTAATGCTACAGATATATTATACAAACACGGTTGAAAATAGAGTTGAATGCAGAAGTTTGGGTTTTCCAGTCAAATTACATATTTTGTTGACTTTGTGAAAATAAGTTAACACTTTATGTATATGGAACATGCTTCTGCGTGTTATATATAGTTAAACTCAGCCAATACATATAGATTGTGCAGTAAAATATGCAGACAAAAAAGCTCTCAATTATTTTCCCACAGAAAATTAACTAATTGACCAGCGGTGTTCAAACATACAACTGTATGTACATAGATTGGTGTACAATTACAGTCTGTAGCCCCTCTGTTATCATGTACCATTTACCACCTTCTACTCCATTCATCTTTGGTCCCTTTCTGACCATCAGACCACTGCTGTCCAGATATTATTTGGATGGTGGATCATTCTAAACACTCACATGGTAGTGTGTGTGTCTTTAGTTTGCTTGTTTAAATGCATAGTGGTCCACCGTCCAGAGTTATTCAGCCACGAGTGACTTTGTTTGAAACTGACCACTGACTAGAGGATGATTAACACAAACTGTGCATCAACAGATGAGCTACAGTCTCTTACTGTACATTAGCAAAGTATCATTAGGTGGGTGTTTGTGGTAAAGTGGCTAAACGTCTTTGTCTTCTTCTTTTCTGAACGTCTTACTCTGTGTTTCTAATAAAACCAGTCACAAAGTGATATTGTGAAAACATTCATAAACAAAACAGCAAACATCTTATTAATTCTAAGGAGAAAACAACATTAAAACATTTTAGTTTATCATATTTACGTCATCTTTGGGAGATAAGCAGAATATCCATTAAAAAGTATAGATAACACCTGGACGAGGCTGTCATACCATCAGCGTGATGTCATAGTCCTGTGGGTCCTGGTGTTGCATGTCCAGTCCGAGCCCTGGAGCCTGCCAGCACACACTCACATCAAGTCTGCACAAGACTTTCATTTTACACACTCATATTTAACATTTTTCATTACTGCTTTAGGATGTATATTTTATAGGATGTATGTTTCTCAGAGTCTTAAAGGTCTGTGTTTAAGTACTTGATTTTTTTTCTTCAAAGACTAATATAAATATTGTATAAATAGTTATATAAATATAAAAGTTGATTTTGAATGATTCTGTTTATAAAAGAGCAATGTGTCCTAAAACAAATCATTTTCTTTTATAACTTATTATAAACATTTTATTATAGTTTAGAGATGGAAAACGTCAGCCCACAATCATTACATCATCATTATTACAATGCGTTCTTCATCAAAAGTTAATTATTATAATGTGTGTCCTTGTTAGTATGTTTGAGTCAGTCAGCTGTGTTGCGATAAGGTGGGCCTGTATAGCTTTATGTGCTAACAGTCCTGTACTTCTCATTGTCATTCCAGATGTGTTATTTTGTATTTTCTCTGGCACTTTACCAGTTTACTTTGACTTGTTTACCAAAAGCAGTAAAACAGGCCAGAGTATGACTTGTAGTAGCACTTCTTCATGTGCTTTCACTGAAAATTGTACACTTACACACTAAGAGCCTGCAGAGTTCCTGCTATGCTGCGATTCACAGCAGAAGGAGATCCTGTTGTCATTAATAATTTGTCAGCCACCTGCTGCCCTGTTATGAGATTTAAGTGCTACTATCAAGTTAAAAATGATGCTAAGATTTCTAATTTCCACTGAGCTTTCGTTCTCTTTACTTCACTGCTAATAATGCAGGTTCAGAGCTTACCTCAGCCTGATGCAGTTCTCCATATCCAGTCTCCAAATCAGGGGGACGGAACATACTGTTGTCTTCTTGGTTCTCAGTGTCAGAAACTGACCATACAGGGAAGACTTTTGCCCCGAGACTGAAGGTAAGCAGACATAGCTGCAGCCCCAGCACTGTTAACGCTCCCATACTGAAGCCCCTCTGCAGCTCATAAACACACTGCATCTGCTTTATACTCACCCACCTAATCACTACCAGAAGCAGCAGGCTGGGCAGAGGGCATAACACCAACACACACACACGTACAGAGAACAACATCTGTAAACACAGTGTTGTTAGTTGAGCTCGGCTGCACTCGCATCAACTTTGACAGTTTTCTCATGAAAAAGATTCTGGGTGATTTGTCCATGTTTCATTATTACTGTGCTCTATCATTCAGGATCTGGTGAGGTCTTTCTTTATAAGGACAACTATGAGGACTAATTTCTTTGAAGAATCCTCAACATGAGAAAATTTGCTTCAGCTTTGCTTTCTCTGTTATAAACCAAACACAGTTTTACACTCACTCACTGTTTACTTTATCAGAAACCTTGTACTTTCACTCACTGACCACTTCATCAGACACTCACACTTGGAGCTCCACCAACTCCATAGCACCAATAAACAGTACTGTGCAAAATCAGAGACTACTGTTCATTTATTTAATTTCCAGTCAAAACTGTCCTTAAATACATCATTTTTCAGTGTCATGAAAAAATCTGAAAACATATATTTCACAGAATTAAATTGCACAGAATTAAATTAGTCCATCAAATAAGTTTTTCAGTATTTAGTGGCCACATTTTGATTTATTACAGCTTCCATTATTTTCAGGATACTCGCTTTCTATACATCCAACGTTCAGTCTTAGAAGTTGGTTGCATTTTCTGCTTCTCACAATCCAAATAATGCCAATTACACTTTTAAACTCATCAGGCCAGAAAACCTTTCTCCACATCTGTGAAGTCCACTTTCAGCACTCTGGTGCAATTTTTTCTTTTAATGTCCATTAGCTCTGCTCAGTGTAACAGCTTCTGAATTGTCTTCTCACAGTGGAACGATAGACAGAAATTCATGTGGATTTTTTCAGATTTGATTCATGAAAGTAACGTCACAATAATTTGAGACAGCAGATTTCAGCTGATGTTAGATTTTATTGTATTATAGTTCTGAGAAGGACTGTAACAATGTGGTTGTATTAAGGCACGTGGCTTACATTTAAGACTGCATGAATAAATGCTGCCAGCTGGGGGTCTCTGTTGGTAATGCACCAAATTTTATAACAACTAAAATATACAGAAAGAGTACAGTGGTAGTTTATTAAAGGAAATGATTAACAAAAGAAAAGATATTATTAACGTATACATTTCCTGTATGTTCAACTCTTTCATGTCAGAATAGCCTTCTTACTCTCTGCTATGCATATTGTGAAGCTACATGTAAATCATGTTTAGATAAAATCATTTCATGATAATGAAATCAGACGGTATTCATCGTGACAGACTGTTCACTTTGTCCTTCGTTCATCAGTACACATCATCTAAAAAAGGAGAGAAAGCAATAATTTTCACCTCAGTGTTACTTAAAGGCTGCAGTTTTGATGTAATGAAATGGTAAAGATGTAAACAAAGTCATTCAGAGTGGATTGATGTGAAATGCTTCTCTCATTCTAGAGAAACGAGTCAATATTGTTCACAGTGGTGGTGATAGGAACCAGATGTCTGAAGAGTTTAATGCCTCTAAAAGCTCCTTCACTGAAAGGTATTACATGAAATGATTAGATATGTGCTGTCTGATGTCTGACACATTGGGTAACACTTTATTTGGAGTGATCCTTTGTAGATGATTAATAAACTCTTAACAGATTATCAGGAACACAACAACATCACATCAGTGAAGTAGCAGTAGTGAAGCATCTGATTACACTGAAGTAAATATCTTGTAGATGTTCTGTTGATACATTACTTACATTAAGCAGATGTATTGTTAATATGTTACACCCATTACGCAAAACCTAAACTTACCCAAAACCTAATCCTAACCCTGGCCCTAATCCTAATCCTAACCTTAACCTCAACCCAAAACCTAATCCTAACCCTCATATGTTTTTGTCATGTTACTGAGAGTCTGTTGAGTGTTTTATCTAAAAAGGACCACTCAAGCTTCACGAAAATCTGTTTGGATCTGTTCATGTCTGAGGGGCACACGCAATGTGTTGTAAAGCAAACAGCCCCCCACTCAGAAGGCATGTATAGGTTCACTGGTCTTTTTGGATAGGAAATAAAATGGCTACATTTGCATTGTAAACATGGCGACCCCTGGTTCCTATCACTGATAAGAAATCCAAGTTGGTAAGTTTCTCTACAATTAACCGTTTCACACCAAACCACTCTAAATGAGATTGTTTATTTCTCCATGACAGAATTATGCAGAAAAAAAGGTGTAATTCCCATTTAAAGGGTGATGGCATCTAAATAATCGTGATCATTATGCTAATGGAAAAGTCTTCTAAACAGCTATACAAAGTTGAAAATGTTCATTTTGCCTTCTGAGTCATTAAAGATGTGCTGATGGTTGCAACAAACATAAACATATCAGTGACGCAATCAGAGTTATACAGTTTTTTGTTATCAAAATGTTCATATATTATAAGCTATGTTACCGTTTGCTGTGTCTCTTCACTCCTGAATGCTGCTCACTGTGGGACCCTGTATGAAAGAATTCACAGATGATTCAAAGTGACTGGAACAAACCTTTATCCTTCTCCATGCAGCTGTAAAGTGTATTCTTACCATTGAGCCAACTAAACTGTTTCGTCCTGGTCTGGATGGTTGTTTGGACGGCTTTTTTTTTTTTTGTAGCTGTCTTTTAGCCCGAACCACCTTGAAGAGAGAAAGAGAGGATCTGCAGTCGTGTGCAAAAGTAAAATTACATTTTGTTGTTTTTCTAAGTGAAAAGAAGTTAACACATACTCTACAGAGGAAGAAACAGAGACACTTTCTGGACATATTAATGCACAGTTACTGTTTATTTGCTGAGTTTAACATGTTGGAAAAAAGTAAACCAGAAAACGTGCCAGAACTTTTGCACAGGCCATATATTATGTTTTTGTGATGGATTCAGCAAAAAAACAGCAAATATGCATTAAAATGTGTAAAAAAGATGTGTAAGTAATTTTCACTTACAAAATCAACAAAACATGTCATTTGACTGGGGGTGCACAAACTTTTGCGCACAACTGTATATTCTACATTTCTTGCATTTTTTTTCCCCCACTTGTGTAGTTTTTGTTCTAAAAACAGTTGTAATTTGTTTCATTTGTTGTTCAATTTATTTTCATGACCATTTTCCAACCTGTCTTTATTCCTTACAATTAAACAAGCCATTTTTTTTCTGTGCCTTTAAGACTGATGTAATATAAATTTTCCGTTTGGAAACTTCAACAATGTTTCCATGGTACATCATCCTTTTTTCCTTCAGAAGAGGATATTTAGTGTTTTCAGGATATGAGCCCTTTTAAGAGGTTCATTAAAGCCCTCTGTCATCTGCCTCTCTTTCAGCAGTGATAATTCAGGCTACATCTGCAGTCTGTGCTGAGGCTGAATAGAGAGGACAGTGAGTACCTCAGGTTCTCCAGTGTTCCCTATAGGAGACATCTTTCCCTGGTGTGGCTTTGGGCGGGGGTGGAGTAATTTCCCAGCTGCTGCCTCTGCTTCCCTCTTGGTGCGAGAGCTCTGAGAGTAACCATGTGGAATAGATGGACAGAAGCACATTAAAGAGGAATCATACAATTTTTTAAACTGTTCAATTGATGAGATGTAAACAAAGTCATTCAGGGTGGCTTGATGTGAAAAGCTCTGTTCTAGATAAACTGACAGAGTCGGAATTCACAGTTCACAGTGATGGTGATATAAACCAGATATCAGAAGAGTTTAATGCTACAGATATATTATACAAACACGGTTGAAAATAGAGTTGAATGCAGAAGTTTGGGTTTTCCAGTCAAATTACATATTTTGTTGACTTTGTGAAAATAAGTTAACACTTCATGTATATGGAACATGCTTCTGTGTGTTATATATAGTTAAACTCAGCCAATACATATAGATCGTGCAGTAAAATATGCAGACAAAAAAGCTCTCAATTATTTTCCCACAGAAAATGAACAAAACAAGTAATTTGTCCAGCAGTGTTCAAACATACAACTATTAGTACATAGACTGGTGTACAATTACAGTCTGTAGCCCCTCTGTTATCATGTACCATTTACCACCTTCTACTCCATTCATCTTTTGTCCCTTTCTGACCATCAGACCACTGCTGTCCAGATATTATTTGGAAGGTGGATCTTTCTAAACACTGACATGGTAGTGTGTGTGTCTCTAGTTCGCTTGTTTAAGCGCATAGTGGTCCACCGTCCAGAGTTATTTAGCCACAAGTGACTTTGTTTGAAACTGACCACTGACTAGAGGATGATTAACACAAATTGTTTAACAACAGATGAGCTACAGTCTCTTACTGTACATTAGCAAAGTGTCATAAGGTGGGTGTTTGTGATAAAGTGGCTATTTAGTGTGCATTATAGTTTGTAATGTACTGTATTTTGAATATATAAGCTGTGCATTCTGAGCAGTGTGCTCACAAACCACCCTAAAATTTTCTTTTTGGATATTTTTGCATTCTTGTGCTGTAACACCATAAGCCAGAACTATGTTCTACAATCACTGAGAAGAATTAGCTTACCACTGGAGTTTTAATCCCATCCAGAGATGTCTGTTGAAAAGACTTTTGAGAAAAAGAGAGGCTGAAGAGGGAGAGCAATCAAAAATCTCAAAATACTCTTAAATTGTTGGATGATGAGAGAATTTGACGCAACAGTCTTGCAACACTGTTTAGTCAAAGTGCTTACACCTAGTAGGGTGAAGGCTCCTGCTCTAAACTTCTTTTTCTTCTTCTTTTCTGAACGTCTTACTCTGTGTTTCTAATAAAAACAGTCACAAAGACATGTTGTGAAAACATTCATAAACAAAATGGCAAATATCTTAGTTTATTCAAAGGAGAATAGAAAATAAAGACATTTTAGTTTATAACAGTTACTTCATGAAAACAAGCACAAACAAAACTCCAAACATCTTTGTTTATTCTAAAAATAAAAACAACATTAAAACATTTTAGTATATCATATTTACGTCATCTTTGGGAAATAAGCAGAATATCCATTAAAAAGTATAGATAACACCTGGACGAGGCTGTCATACCATCAGCGTGATGTCATAGTCCTGTGGGTCCTGATATTTCATTTCCAGTCCGAGCTCTGGAGCCTGCCAGAACACACTCACATCAAGTCTGTACAAGATGTTCATTTTACACACTCATATTTAACATTTTTCATTACTGCTTTAGGATGTATATTTTATAGGATGTATGTTTCTCACAGTCTTAAAGGTCTGTGTTTAAGTACTTGATTTTTTTTCTTCAAAGACTAATATAAATATTGTATAAATAGTTATATAAATATAAAAGTTGATTTTGATTTTCTATGATTCTGTTTATAAAAGAGCAATGTGCCCTAAAACAAGTCATTTTCTTTTATAATTTTTATTATAAACATTTTATTATAGTTTAGAGATGGAAAACGTCAGCCCACAATCATTACATCATCATTATTACAATGCGTTCTTCATCAAAAGTCAATGATTATAATGTGTGTCCTTGTTAGTATGTTTGAGTCAGTCAGCTGTGTTGCGATAAGGTGGGCCTGTATAGCTTTATGTGCTAACAGTCCTGTACTTCTCATTGTCATTCCAGATGTGTTATTTTGTATTTTCTCTGGCACTTTACCAGTTTACTTTGACTTGTTTACCAAAAGCAGTAAAACAGGCCAGAGTATGACTTGTAGTAGCACTTCTTCATGTGCTTTCACTGAAAATTGTACACTTACACACTAAGAGCCTGCAGAGTTCCTGCTATGCTGCGATTCACAGCAGAAGGAGATCCTGTTGTCATTAATAATTTGTCAGCCACCTGCTGCCCTGTTATGAGATTTAAGTGCTACTATCAAGTTAAAAATGATGCTAAGATTTCTAATTTCCACTGAGCTTTCGTTCTCTTTACTTCACTGCTAATAATACAGGTTCAGAGCTTACCTCAGCCTGATGCAGTTCTCCATATCCAGTCTCAAACATAATGGGCTGGTCCATACTTTTTAGCTCGTCTTGGCTCTCAGTGTCAGAAACTGACCATACAGGGAAGTATGGTGCCCCGAGACTGAAGGTAAGCAGACATAGCTGCAGCCCCAGCACTGTTAGCGCTCCCATACTGAAGCCCCTCTGCAGCTCATAAACACACTGCATCTGCTTTATACTCTCCCACCTAATCACTACCAGATGCAGAAGGCTGGACAGAGCGTGTACCACCAAGACACACACACTTACAAAGAACAACATCTGTGCACACAGTGTTGTTAGTTGAGCTCAGCTGCACTCGCATCAACTTTTTCCATGAAAAAAGTTTCTGGTTGATTTGTCCATGTTTCATTATTACTGTGCTCTATCATTCAGGATCTGGTGAGGTCTTTCTTTATAAGGACAACTATGAAGACTAATTTCTTTGAAGAATCCTCAACATGTGAAAATATGCTTCAGCTTTGCTTTCTCTGTTATAAACCAAACACAGTTTTACACTCACTCACTGTTTACTTTACTGGAAACCTTGTACTTTCACTCACTGACCACTTCATGAGACACTCACACTTGGAGCTCCACCAACTCAATAGCTTCAGTATACAGTACTGTGCAAAGTCAGAGACTGCTGTACATTTATTTAATTTCCAGTCAAAACAGTCCTTAAATACATCATTTTCTGACCACTGTTTGCCAGATATTATTTGGGTGGTGGATCATTCTCAACATAGCAGTGGCACTGACATGGTAGTTTCATGATAGTGTGTGGAGCTGATACAAGTATATCAGTGAAGTTACTGGATTTTTTACTCACATCAGTGCCACTGGTGGGTTGAGAATATTCAGCCAAAAGATGCTCGGTGGTCAGAAACTCACCACTGATGACGAGCTAGAGGATGACACAGACTGTGCATCAACAGATTGGCTACAGTCTCTGGAACTACATAGTCTAATAAGGTTGCCAGAGAGATTAGCGACCACTGTTTAGTGTTACTTTTGCATTCATCACCTTTCATAACCATTAAAAATAGGATTCTGGGGATGTGATTACTGTCATCCCATCAACTAACCCATGCATTTCCTCAAAGTAATGGCACATCTCCTTTCTGTCTAGTTCATAATGCAGTCACACTGCATGCTCACAGCAGGATTCCCCTTAGACTCTTTTTGTAAACATGGAAATCTTGAGTGCCAATGTGCACACAGCATGCAGCCTCTTTTAATGGGGAAAGGATTAAAAATCTTCAGCCAATTTTAAAGGATTATCAGGATATAAACTGGAATGGACTTGCCTTAAGTCCATGTGAAGTCCCTGGTATGAAGTTTTCCCTATGATTACTGATAAGGCTGTATTGCAGTGCTAATGTAATTTTCTAGTAGGGGTATAACTGTACATCATAACGCAACACATTACAAAGTAAAAATATGACAAGAAAGGTTTTTGATGAGTTTGATGTAGTATGTACACACTTTTAAAGCTTTAAAACATACTGTTCACTCCTCAGTCCAAACAGTCTGTATATGGAAACTAAAATGTGAAAACAGATCTTTTTGAATGAATAGTTCTGTGATGTCATGAAAATCAACGCAGTTTAGCTCCACTTATTCATATTCAAGTTTTTCACCTATTCAGCCCCGCCAATTAAAGGAAGCGGCTCGTCCCCATTTTATCTTTTAACTTCTTGTGTCTGCTGACCACTATTAGAAAACAATGGGTTAACTTTAATACCAAGAACAAGAAGAACAGACTTGCCTTCTTGGGAGGAACATTTTTGATAAGAATGAGCAATGTTTAATATCTCTGGAATGAACTTACAAGAAAAATGGAGAATGCATGTGTCAGAGTTGGAGATTTTTTTTGTGTGCTATTGCATAATACTCTAAGCCCAGCTGGTTTCACCAGCACGAGTGTTGGTGGCCTAAAAGCTCAGAATATTATGGAATTCAAAAGCGCTGATGACTAAATCATCTGATATGACCCCTTATACACAATGTGCTATTTTACACTGTTATAATAAAGTCAAAGTTCATCATTTCTCTGATAAGCCTCCTCAGCAGCCACAACAGTACAGCAGCACCAACAGTAGGTAAAAAACTGTGACCGATAGCCTGGTTTTTGAGTAAATGTCTGCAGAGGCAAGATATGGGACAAAACTGAGAGAAAGTAGGAGAAAAGTAGGAGTGGGAAAAAGTGCTGTCTGCCAAAGCAGTAATTCTGTATCTGAAGGTGAGGAGCAGCTGTGTTGAGGCCCTGATCTGTAGGATGAGGAAAAAGAAAAGCTACCTGCTTTAGTGCCACTTATCTTTGGTAAGCTGTGGCTTACAGATGATGCCTGCTTACTATGCCAGATCTAAGCTAATGTTTCCTAAAAATAGCTCTTTCATTTTTCCTAATAATGATAGCCAATTAAGTCTTTTCTTTCTCTTAGTTTTAAAGTGTTTAAAACACATAAGGTACACCAAAGAATACAATTCAATACAATTAGTATTTGCATAAATCTTTTAATATATGTAATATAATAGCCCTCAGAGGGGTGAGGGTTCGAGTGAGCACTCGTGTCGACTTCAGCCAGGGACGGAGGAAGGTTTTTGAAGTCGAGGGTGCTGAAATTTTAAGCAGTGTATGTTTGATGTGACTAATGACGTTATGCAATTTTTTTTTGCTACTTCACATCAAACAGAACATGTCAGCGCTATGATGAGGCAAGAGGTGACAATGTTTACATCTAACTGACACATCAAACCATTGGCGCACATCATCATTCTACTCTCTCGTTCCGGACCCACTTTATGCAGATGAACTGAATGATGACCAGTAGGATTGTTTATGTAACACTGTAAGATTTAACCCTGTAACACTCTAAACGGGAGATATAACGATATATAATAATAATATAGAATTGATAAAAACATCATTATGTTAGATATTTTTAGTTTAAGAACCATATTAGGCTGTTTTGGGACACAGTACTCTATAACTCTGCGTCCTCTCTGCACCGCAACCTGCACATGTTAAAACGTTGCGCCCCCAAAGTGGCCAACAGTTCTCAGCTCGCTGTAATGAAAATATGGTGCTCACTTAAATACACAAATACAAACTCCGCTCTAAAACAAGTACATATGGGTCTTTACTACGCTCAAATTATTTTAAAGTTCAGAACATTTTATTATTCCTATTTTTAACAGTTGCAAACCTGAAATCAGCTGGTGCTGGAGCACCTGCACTTCCCACGTGACTTTGCCAGCAGAACTTGTCCAGAAATCGTTGCGATCTGACGCGTTTCCCTTTTTAAACCTGAAAATAATGGAGGACAAATCTACTGAAAGGTCATAGCCGTAAACACTTTAAAATGACAAAGCATTTACTCACACACGTTACATACACTATGCTCAGACTTTTTGCATTGCAAAGATTGCGTGGCTAGCTGATTAGCTCACTGAGGCTAACCTGCCGAGGATGAGTGTTTTCTGTTTGTATAATCTGCTCCTCGCTGTCCGGCCGCGCATGGTCCTTTGTGTAACATAGCTGTGAGGCACATCTGAGTGGTGAGTTGAAGTGGGCAAGAGCAAGTTAAAAATTAATGAAAAAACAGGACCCATGAGTGTTTCAGCCCAGACTACTTTTTGAATGAGCCACAATACAGTGCAGTCAATCAGAATAGAGGTCATTCACAAATATCAGTCTTAACAGCAAAGCAACAATAACAGCCTGTTTAAATCTCAGGAATAAGGAGAGGTTGGAAATTGGTTGTGTAAAAATGAATTATAATATAAAACCACACAAACATTATAAGTGAACCTCAGAAATGCAAAAATGTAGGATGAGATGACACACTCCCAGATCGGGACTCATTTGTAAGTTCATGCACAGACATGAATTACTTTTCTTCATTCAGATTTTGTTCAGAATATGAGAATTTTGAATCCAGTATCATGAATCAATTCATATGATAAGAATGTATGGTTACAACCCCAGTTTCCAGTGCTATGAACTTCTTTCAGCTTTCACAAAAACACAGAGCAAGGGAGTGAGTGTGAGAGAGGGAATGTGTGTACTTTGGCACTCTTTGCCGTTGTTTGAAGCAGCTGACTAAACGTACATGTGACATGGCTTAGCAGCGGACGAGAGTCTATCCGGATTTATTTTGCAAAGCAATCTGAGGTTGCAGATCATTGGTTTCTCATTTGGCTACACATACCTGACTCCATTTTCCTGTAAACAGGGTGGGTCTTGCAGTAAAAGGATTTTATAATTGGAGTTTAGATTGTAAGGCTTAGGATGGCAGCAGTGTTAAATGTAAATACAACCACCACCAGCAATCTGTGGCCATTAGATAGCCAGGGCTCCAGCCTAACTACTGATGCATCGGTGCCACCCACTAGATACAATGTGAACTGCATGCTATAGCAAATGGTTAATTATAAAATTAAAAATCACTGTTTTTAGGGGAGATTTTGTGAATAATTGTTTTTTTCACACAACTCTGCAGAGTTTAGCTCCATCCCTTATCTAGCACACTTGGTCTAAGTAATGCAGGCCTTCAAGAGCATCTGAATATTAGAGTCAGCTGGACTCTCCAAGAGAACAGCACAGGCTGGAATGCTTGACCCCAACCTTGAGGGTCCAATGTCTCTGTTATGGGGGCATTTTGCTGGCATGGTTTGGGTCCACTTGTCTTCTTACGGGAGAGTCACTGCAAATCAATGCAGAGTTATTCTGAGTGATCACCTGGGCCTGATAGATTAAAATTCTACTACTTTAGTGCCAGACTTTGTACTGTGTTTTTACCATATTTTTAGCGGGCACAAGCGTGAATTGACTTCAGATGTCTATTTCCATTTAGATACAAGTAGTAGTAGTTTAAGTGGTATCTCTTTCCTTCTTTCTTTTTTATGATTTTCATAATTCAAGTGCCTACATCAATCTTAGCTGATCTTTCATGGCTGCTATGACCAACTTCAGTAAGTTTCAGTGATTTTTTTTTCTCTAAAGTCACTAAAGTAAGGCACAATGCTGAGGTAGTTGTATGCTCGCTGCAGTGGTGCTGGTAGTTCAGTCACTTTCTCTCTAGAGGTGTGGAGATGCCACTGAAATAAAAGTATTGTTGCCTAAATTACATAATAACTCAAGTAGAAGTGGAAGTAGCTAACAAAAATACCGACACCAGACTCCCTCGCTTTGTACTTCACTCTTTATGTAAGGAGGAGAGCTTCATTTGTGAATCAACGAATCCTGGAATCGGACAGTTGGAAAGAATCGACTCTGAATCGAGCGTCATTACTACAGTGCGATGGTTACTTGGATTTAAGTCGAAACCTCCCAGAAACAGAAGATAATCAGTAAACAGTGCGGACATGTGTGGACTAAATACAGGAGATTAAAGAAATGTTGGGCATAAAATAATGAATAATAATGAGTTAAATCCGTTACTTCAGGGCGCTATGGATTCGGAGAGCTCTGATTGGCTGGTGCGCTGTTTAAAGGCTCATGTGGCATCTCGCGAGTTGAGCTCGGGCGCTTGGCGGGAATGGGTTATGCGAGGTGTGCTCCGTTAGCTCCTCATCCTCCGTGGGAAAAGGACAGTATTCCCGCTGGGCACTTAGGAATTATGCCTGTGGACGCTGCCAGCTTTTTAAACCTTTCCGTACCGAGTCGTGACACTGCTGTGAGTAGCCGTTAAACACCAGCGCTCAGTCGGAGGAGCAGCGGAGAGGCGCCGGTGAGTCTTTAGTACAGTCAGTCAGTCAGTTAGGCAGACTTGGTTTCCCTTCAGTCACACGTCCGTATTAACGGACATTGGTAAGTGACGGTTTATAATTAGCAGAATCATTTTTGCGGATTTAATATAGAAGTTAATGTCGACATTATGAGTATTACTAAGTTTAACAGTTTAACAGTTTACACAGGTCAGTTTTTGCTGCCTAACGTTGCCGAAGTCATTTGAAAACATCCTGCTGAAGTGCATTGTGGTTCAGTAGTCTTTGTGTGTCCGGTGTAATATAGCTCACAGTTCCGTATTACATTGTTCTTGTAGGTGTGTTACATTATTTATCCGTTCATAGTTGTATTTAGGTCTATTTTTAGCCTTGTGGTGAACACTGTGGTGACTGCTGTGGTAGGAATGGTCTCTGCTTTGCTTCACTGTGAGTGACAGAGTAAAGCACACAGGGCCTGGATGCTGGTGTGAGTGTAAACACTGGCAGCAGTGCTCTCGTGTCTGAGAGGTGGCCACTTAACCTGTCACACAGCCTGGCGTCACGCATTGCCATTACACCTCAAGGACGAGAGGGTGTTTTTTGTGTTTGCTCTCACTGTTAGCTCAACAGATGCTGTGCCTATCAGACTGCCAGCTTTTACAGTGTGAGAGAGAAGCCTGCACCCTATCAGTCCACACTGCTGCCAGCAGATTGAGCAGTGTTATGTAGGAAGGCTTTTTCCTTTATTCCTCCCTCTCTCTCTCTCTCCCTCTCTCTCTCTCTCTCTCTCTCTCTCTCTCTCTCTGTTACAGCACTAAGTATTTGGTTGCAGTCCAAACGAAATCCTCTGTGGAAACTGTTCAGCCTTGGTACTTGAGGCAGAGCAAAAATCCAGATTTTTGCGTCATTGTGCACCTGACAGACCTCGGCTTTTGATTTTCCCTCTTTGTCGAGAAAAGCCTGACACAGTGTGGGGGTAGATTTTTGGGATCGGTTTCAAAGCTTGGGTTAAGATGGTTGCAGTGTTATGTATGGATTGGACTGGATTGGATATGAATTGAAAGTGAAAAGAATTGTTCTCCCATCCAGACATTAACAGAGACCAGAGACGTAGCTGATCGACTGTGAGGATTTGAGTGATGGGGCGCAAGTTGGACCTGTCTAGTCTTACGGAGGAGGAGGCAGAGCACGTGCTACAGGTGGTGCAAAGAGACATGCAGCTGCGCAAGACAGAAGAGGAGCGACTGAGGTCAGTGAGTCCTGTCTGCCATCACCTACATCTGTCATATGGCTGTAGGGTGGATTTTAGGCACATTTTGACTGAACAAAACTTCACCATCCTTCATCTATGTTATTTACAGTCAGACTGGCTATATAAGTATGAGTTAGTCATTTTTCAGGAGGATTTTCTGAGGAGATTAGATATAAATTGTCCTCTTGCATAAGAAAGGGGACCATCCAAGTAAAATAAGTGAAAAAACTGGAGTTTTGAAACTGGAGTTCAAATATATTACAAGCTATAGAGAAAATGAGAGTCCTAACAACCTTGTAAGACCTGGTAGACCACCAAAACTGTTAAGATCAGATAAACAGTACTTAAAGCTATCATCTTTGAAAGATTTGCAAACTCAAACAAAGAAGCTGCTGGTGTTCTCAGAATAATGGAGTGACCACCCCAGAGTCCAGACCTCAACCTCATGAAAAGTGATTATTTGGATCGTGAGAAGCGAAAAATGCAACCAACTTCTAAGACTGAATTTTGGAGTTGTGGAAAAATATCCTGTCAGATTTAAACAAGTCTGCTGAAAAGAATGGAAGGTGTAAAAAAGACACACTTAATATAGAAAACTTTGATATCATGGTTTATTGTTAAGGCTTCTGTATAATTCTGATATTCATATATGTATAATTCGTGTGTATGTGTGTGTGTGTATATATATATATATATATATATATATATATATATATATGTACTTCTACTATTTTTTGAGAAAATGAAATTGACAAATTATTATTATTATTTTTTTATTACTAAAGGTTAGGTCAGGTAGGCATTATTCACAAAGACAGGAATACAAACTTGTGCCTTAATACCGTTTATACAACAGTTAGTTCCGGTGCTAAGCAACGACTTTGACAGCTGTAGTAGACGCTCAAGCCATTTGAATGTTTTTACTTCTTACTTTGTGAACAAACAGAAAATGGCTACTTTTAAGATCACATTTGACCAACAGCCAATTTGGTCAGACTCTGAAGATGAGACTATCCTAAATTCCCAAACTGTCAGTTGGTCTGTGTGGAGCTGGAGAACGAACTGCTGGCTGTGCAGCGAGTGAGTGGAGCTCGTTACTCTGACATAGCAACAAGCTGCTTGTTAAGGAACTATAATTTGGCGGAAGGAACTGCTAACATTAAAACATATTAAATTCCCTGTTTACGCCTTCGGCTCGTGCCTGTGACCAAATCACAGCTGTGATGTTATTTTGCGATAACACACTCCGTCTCATGTTCTAGTGCTTAAATATAATGCATTTTGAATGCTGTCGTAATAATGTGATTGTATTAACATGAATTACCCAGTAGTCTCTTTAGAATGGCATTCCAGGCATTGCTAGACTGCATGAGAGATTTCCCATCATACTTCGTCATACTTTTTAAACGCTACACAAAGAACAGGAAGGGTCCTCCCTTCCCTGTCTCGCTACAGCTCACTTCCTGAGACCAAGGATATGCTCTCAGCTTTGTGGGCAGCTGATTTGTATCATTCAGCCATTAGTATATATAGGTTTGAAGAATTTATAGAGAGTCTTAGCTGTTAGCTGTTGCTATAGTCATCTGTATACTAATATTGTATTACATTTTTTTCCACTGCAGCAAATGTGAATTTATGGAATGTGTTCAGTGTAGCCAAGGTCATTCTCTGTAAGATGAAAAGCTCTCTGTTTACTGTTTTTCTCTGAACGTAACACCAGGAAATGACCAGAATTCACAACAGATGGTCCTAAAAATAACAGACGTTATGTCCTTATGCAACGAAAGCCATGCACGTCCATTTAAACTTGCACAGAGTGTATTCCAAAGTTAGTGAACTTAAATCTCTCAGTAATGACTAATATGTTTTGCAGACGTATGTTATATGGTTTTATGCAAAAATGTTGGCACGCTTGGTGAATTTATGTTTTGTTACTTTTCTAAGTGAAAAGAAGTGAACACATCTACACATTTTAAAGCGTAATTGTTGTTTATTTGCTCCAATGAACCCCTCAAAATCCTAGGCGTATTACATACCAAGGCATATTATTTAGTAAATACAGGAACAGTGTGAACAAAAGTAATTTTTAGATTATAGAAATGTGTAATATAACTTTGGGCCGGCTGGTGGACCCTGGGGTTAATATACTGAGAAAACATGAACCATTAAATTTTGCATATTGATTCAAAACTGTCTAGCATAACGTCTTTCATGGCAGTCATCACCACTGCTGTAGTTCCAGAACAAAAAAAGGGAACTCATGCGGGCTACTGCCTCTTGGGAATTACTTACTTTCATATTTTTGCTAAGTGCAGATCTTTGTTTTCTGTCATTTGTGTGGCAGCTTCACTTCACACTGGATATTCTGTTTTTTTTCTCTATCCATTCTTTGGCCTAACTGAAGTTATTTATTCTAAAATAAGTTAATAAATGAATAAACAAACAAAAGATAAATGAGCTGTGCTTCCTAACATCTTGATTGTAGTGTGTTACTCTAAGCCTCTTCATATGAGGAGTACTCTTCACTAGGTAAATGCAAGGTAGATGCATAATGATAGCAGCGGATAATTGCTTAAAAATTATTGGCATTGGGCAGATGTTTGGATTTGCCTGATATTTCAAACCGATGTTTGATGTTTGATTTTGTATTTATTGTACTCCAGAACAGGGCTCCAACAACTAATCGACATTAGATAAAAGCCTTTTTTAATATGAATTAGAAGGTATGGTAGATTTTTATGTTTTTACAAAGTAATAAAAGAATAATACTTATATTTTTTTAATTGTTGAATGAAACACCATTGTCAGACTAAAATCTGCAGTAGTTTTTAGTTGTAGCCCTGCTCCAGAAGAGCAGAATGTTTAGGTGACTTTTTTTACATTAATTTTACTGCATTTCTAACCCAACAGAAATATATCTCTCTCTGTATTGGTCATCCAGGTTCATGTAGTCCCACTTTCTACATTATGTTTATGTATCAACAACCTACCTTGGCGTCGGCAGATATGTACATGAAGAATATCGCATATCGGCCCGCATTTCCTATATCAGTGCATCCCTAGTTTTTACGTTTATGAATAGTTTCTCAAATAATTGCTTGTAGTTCTGCTCTAATAATCTGTTAAATCTTTGTTAAGTAACAGGACATATACAGCACATAGTTTAGCAAAACAAAAAACACTCCACAAATGAGCTTTTAAATCACATCCCCCCCTCCAGTAATGGAATTCCTCAACGTGATTAATCACTATTTCTGGCACCCATGTTTTATTCGATAATCAGACGTCCTGCCTACTCTAATCTTGTTTTTTCCATGATAAGATTATCTCAACAAGCTTTTTGGCATCTAAAATGTCAACATTTTTAGTGATTCGGCTTGCAGCTGAGTTTTCTTTTAAAGCTCTCTTACACACACTGTCTCGTAGGTTGTATAGTTACTGAAACAGACATTATTCTGCAGCCTCACTGAGTTGTGTGGCTGCATAAGAATTCAAAATAAAAGTATATAATGATTGAGCTCAGTGGAGAATGGAGAAGACCTCACATTTTAATCAAAGTGAAGCTTTGTCATGCTTCCCAGTGTTTTGATTAAAATATTCTACCGGGAGCAGGCTAACAATGATCTACACCTTTATTCATTATCTGACTGGCCTCCTAATGAGGCTGGTATTGACTAATTAAACTCCCTGTTCTCTTTATCTGCCTCCTTAGAATCAGAAGACGAGGCTGACCCTGCTGCAGCGTGTCTGTCTTATATTAGCGTAGACATTTTGCAGACAACATCCAGCATTTTCAGAGAGACTGTTGTGTTTTTCTTTGTGTATGTGGTTTAAAGTCATCTCATAAATGAGTCAGAATGAAACGCTGGCTTCAGACAGACTGCTGATCACCTTTATTGATGCTTCTGTATTTTAAAAATGTGTTAACAGTAGTGCCAGAGATGGAATTATGTTCTCGTTCCTTTCAAAATAGTTCAGAATAATTCAGACTTCTTTTGAGTGGGTGGGTTTTGTTGAGTTTAGAGCTATTAAATTAATACAGAAGGTCAGCTAGTACCATAAAACAGGCACCAATGCATAGGCTGACAACCTTATCTAAAGGACATAATCTTTTATAGCTCCTATCACAAAGGCACAGTCATTAACCCTCTGGAATGGTTGGCAAGTGCTTTTCAACACTGAGGAGAAAACACTGGTTCCCAGAAACCCATTATCTCCCTAACTGTTTGCCAAATATTGATGTGTCTCTGTTTGGACAGTATCACTTCATCTCTCCTGGGCCCTCCGATAGAAAATGGGCCTTAAAGTAATGGGTCAGTTGTAATAAAAAAAAACAACTTACAACCTCAGTTTTCCTTTCATGAAATCTGTGGTACCAGTGATGCTTTAAAAGTATTGCTTTAAGAGTGTTTTTCTAAATGGAGCTATATTTGTGAGACAATTGTGTACAAAGCTAATTGTGTAGCATCCTTTTAACATTTGAAATCCAGCTTAACTGCTTGGATGAATTTTGGGTAAAACTGTGCCTTAGGTGCGCTTAATAACATGAACGATGTTTTCATATTATTAATTGATTACTTTATTGCTCCTGAAACCTTCTATCTGTGGCCTTAAATACAAACATCTTTTGGCCGTCATTTAGACACATAGGCAGAGAAGCCACCCGCCGGCTAACCTGTGTCAGAAGTTATTGCATCAAAGCTTTAACCTCTCTCATTTCATGCAAGCACTGGCTTCTCTATTGCTTGCCCCTTATCCTCCTTGGAGGGTTGTGCTTGCATGCATCCTGCTTCTCAATTTTTTCACTGACACCTCAGGAACAGGACAGAATTTCAAAGAGAGATGAATAGGGGACTGGGGAACCATCAAGCTACAAACAAAAAATGAGTAGCAATAGCAAGAGAAATTTTCTGACTGAGTCAGAGTGCAGTTGCATACAACGCATTGGGAAAATGGGAAACCTACTTTTTCAATTTTTTGAGAAGTCAGTCCACTCA